AAAAATTGGGTTGGTCACAGTTCCGTTCTACAACCCTACTATTTATAATGTTTACTCCTTTATTAGCCTACTGCTTAGGTGTTTAATTGTCATAATGATATTCAGAGCCTTTATCTTGTAGCTTTTTACTTCAGCTTATTTAGTTTCATTGTTTTGCTTTTTTGTCTTTCGTTACTCCCCTTCTATTTCTACTCATTTTTCGAATATGGTTTCTGAGCCGCACAATGCCTTGTTTTATCTCTGACTCGAAATGGTTCGTGGTATCGTGCCTTAGGTTGTTCAGATTCAACCTGTGGCTGTAGTGCCCCGCATCCGTCTTATCAGTTTATCGGGTCAGCCCCACCATAACTTTTTTCGAAAATCGCCAACCTCAACGACCGCTTAGCTAGAAGTATTAAAGTTACCAATATCACAATCTGGAATAGCATACTCCAAGAATCGCATTCGCCTAAGTCACCGCGAAGATGGGTGTTACAAACAAGAAAACAATTACCAAGACAAGGCGCAAGACTCGAGACGTCGACCAGGTCAAGGCCGACCTCATGTCACCCAAGCATCTGAAGCAATTCATGGAGACGAAGGCTGCTGAGGACCTTCCCGGCCTTGGGCGTCACTACTGTGTCGAGTGCTCCAAATGGTTTGATACGGATGCTACTCTGATCTCGCATCAAAAGGGAAAGCCTCATAAGAGAAGGTATGTCACATGGTGGCTCGCAATGGATATCTATTTGTCTATCATGTATGAAGTGTGTGTTAATGCCCCGCCAGAGTCAAGCAGATCGCCGAAGGGCCATACACTCAGCAGGAGGCCGAAGCTGCCGTCGGCTTACGAACAGACAACGGAGACCGAAAGCGTACATTTGCCGACCAAGATAACGATGTTGCCATGGACGCCTAAATCTTGTCCGATAAAATTCTTCATAGCACGCTAAAAGGGGGATATAAAGTCATAGGGCGCATCGGAGCTGAGCTTGATTTCTTACATTGCAAATGGCGTTTTGGAATCTTTCTGTTGATATCCCGATTACATTCACCTAACACCACGACCGCGCGCTCTGGCCAGTCCACTAGGCCGGCTACGTCCAACACCGCGCGTCGATCTTCCCCGAGACGATGTTCCTCGACCGGGAGCAGCAGGAAGACGTGATTGTCTTTTTGGAGGCTCTGGTGTGGTGAATTTGGAAGACTTGGTGGTAGTGGGAGGATTCTCGACAAAGGACGTGTCAGTGGTCCTATAGGCTAGTCAGAAGGGCCAATAAAGGTTTTTAAAAAGGAGACTTACATGAACGTCATTTCTGCATCGGCCTCTGATTTTGATGGGGTCACGGCGGGTTGTTCTGGTTGAGTTCGGTCTCTGCGGAAAGATTCCGGAACAGGCCCCTGCGAGAATAAGCCTCAGAATAACGAAACCGTACATATCCGATACGGATAGCCTCGATAGACATACCTCTGGGAAATCAACACAAAAGGCATTCATGTTCAGACCATAAAGGAAGCTCGCAAACGATTCACTGAATCTCGCTAAACTCTCATGCATAAGCTGAAAGTGCATCATATTCGCTTCGAGGTCGGCCATGGCATCTGAAAGCTCAGCAAAGGCTGGCTCAAATGCATTCAGCGGAAATGGCGCATCATGTTCTCCAGCACCTCGCGCGGACTCGCGAAAGGATGATCGAGATGAAGGTCGCAGCGGGGTGGTAGGTCGTGACGTTCGGGAACGAGAATTTGAGCGTTTGCTGGGATCTTGAGGTGTGGTTGACATTTTGGCAGCTTTTGTGCTGTATTTTGCATTCGCTGTTGTGTCTTTTTTCTTTTTCTTTCTGTATTGTTTCGTATATTCGTGGCTGGGCGTACTAGGTATGCAATCCGCGTACTTGATATCGCGACCTGAAGTTGAGTTGTACGAAAGTCAACAAACATTGGATGGAAGTCTGTTGTGGCGCCCCCGCAATTCGTTTCGAGATGTGGCTCCCAGTCCCCCATGTGGCTTTCTCCACGACGGTTCTATTGCCCAGATAGCATCATATGTACCTACTTTACATCATGCCCGATTTTGATATCATTTGGCCTCGAGTCCTACTTGCTTTTTGTTATCTTAGCATGCTTTTTTATAGAACTCATCATATATCAAGCATGATGGGAATTACTATCCATGTTTGAGAGATGTCGCGTGAGCAGTCTTCGATTCAGGGGCAGACATGACAAAGACATACGATATCCGGATAAAGAAAAGCTCATCGTAGGAAGACTTTGGTAGGGAACACTGCCATGTTATGAACATTCACTTTAAATCGACTAGGATATGGGGCCCTTGACCGTGGGATATCGCAGGGTTTTGTCTTCAAGCTGTTAGCTCTAACTAGTAGGTAGCTCTATAGGGTAGAGCACAGCCACGCTCACATCACACTCATATTTAACCTATCCGTACTTTGTTGTCATTATTTTTGGTCTTGATGCTGTGTCACCTTTTGTTCGAGACATCTTGATTGGGGCTCTTGAAGTGCGTGACAGAAAAACTTCAACATCAATAATAGGCCTCCAATCTTTGTTCCCGAGTACTCCGAACACTAACAAATGCCCTACGTCAATAGTTGATCCTATCCACTCTTCATCCGCGGAAACCGGAGTCTTGCAAGCTCCGAACACACCTTGAGCATCAACAGGTTATTCTATTTTATTACGGTCGTGCCATCCTCTGAGAATTCCGAACGATTCGTATCCATCATCAAACCTGGAGGCCTGTCAGTGGATTGTTCCTACTTTGTACCTGCAAAGCAGCTTTGAGAGGTACTTACCTAAGGTAGGTAAGGTAAGGTAGGTAGGTATCTGTGGAGCCGATACCACGCCAACAAAGAGTGTCCCGCATTCTAAAAATCCCCATAAACGACGACATTGATTTACCTACCACTTTGGTTTTTGCGGCGTATGTGTACGCGTTTGCAAATCTGACATATCTTTCTCGACCCTTTACCTATGAGGACTCAACTGGGACGAAACCTATGCTCGTATAGCCCTCTTAAATACTGCTCTCAGCCATTTTCGCGCCACCTGCAGCTACGGTCATCTGTCCTTTCTTCCAGCTTACTGAGACAGCCCCTTACAAACTCACGAGCAACCCCTGCATGTGCTAGGAGCATCGCCTCTGCAAGATATCTAACAGGTTCAAGGAACCTCACCCACTCAATTGCCATCAAACGGACAGTATACAGCAAAGCCGGCTCAAATCCAAGTAGCAGACTTCCCCTCAAAGCCAACTCACTTTACTCAGTTGTTGTAGCTGTAGCAGTCATTACGGCTGTTGTTGCTATATCAGCTTGGCCTACAGGAAGCCCCAGCAACCAACCCCCACCAGAAGAGTTCGAAGAAGAGTTCGAGATCATGTCTTTCCAATTACCCCCTGGGCGCCCGGGGAACCTGACTCCCGAGCAAGAGGAGAAGCTTCGCAAGCTATGGACTGCTATCTTTCAACTCACTGGCGTGGCCGGTGAGGAGAGCTCTGGTGCCAACCTCTTGCCCCAAAAAGAGGAGGCGAGTCCAGCAGAGGCTGACTCTAAGAAGAAGCGAGGATTCGGCATGTTCAAGAAAGGCAAATCCGGTACCTCGACACCAACTGAAGCTTCCGCTGAAGAGGACAAGTACAATGAAACCAAACAATTCCATGAGACTTTGGCCAACGAGTCCCCCGAAACAATTCGACACACGATATGGTCTATGGTGAAGCACGATCACCCTGATGCCCTTGTTCTGCGCTTTCTCAGAGCACGAAAGTGGGATGTCGAGAAGGCGCTCGTTATGCTGGTGTCAACTATGCATTGGAGGCATAACGACATGAAGGTAGACTCTGAAATCATGAAGAACGGAGATGCCTTTGCGGTTGAGGATGAGAAGACCGATTCTCCTACTAAGCAAGTTAGCGCCGACATGATGAAGCAACTCCGAATGGGCAAGAGTTTCCTGCACGGCACTGATAAGCAAGGCCGACCTATATGTGTCGTCCGGGTTCGCCTGCACAAGGCTGGGCAAGAGTGCGAAGAAAGTCTGGAAAAGTACACAGTCTACATTATTGAGACAGCGCGCATGACCCTTCAGCCCCCTGTTGATACAGCTGTAAGTACCCGTGATCTAGAAATCAGAGCACAATATTGACACGCAAACCTAGTGCATTGTCTTCGACATGACCGGCTTCTCTATGGCCAACATGGACTACACACCTGTTAAGTTCATGATTAAGTGCTTCGAGGCCAACTATCCCGAGTCTCTAGGTGCCGTCCTGGTACATAAAGCTCCTTGGCTTTTCCAAGGTATGTTGCTGTTTTTGGAGCGAAGATAGGCACTGACTCGTAATAAGGTATCTGGAAGGTCATCCGTGGCTGGCTTGACCCTGTGGTGGCAGCCAAAGTTCACTTCACTAACAACCGGGCTGAACTCGAGGAGTTCATCGCTCCAGACCATCTGATCAAGGAGCTTGAAGGCGATGAGAACTGGGAATACAAGTACATCGAGCCTACCGCTGGCGAAAATGACAAGATGAAGGATACGCAAACACGCGATGGTCTTTTGACTGACCGTGAAGGGTTGGTCAAGAAATTCGAGCATACAACTAGGGAATGGATCCGTCATCCTGATGGTGAGCAGGGCAAACAACTCAAGGCTGAACGAGAGAAGATTGCCAAACTTCTCAAGGATGATTACTGGAATCTTGACCCATACATCCGAGCACGAACACTCTACGACAGACAGGGTGCGATACAGACCGATGGCAAGACTGACTGGTACTCGCTCAAGCCACCGGCTGCTGTGGGAGCCAGCACTTCTGCTGATGACCTAGACTAGACGAGGCGTGTGAAGCACAAAAGGGACTTGGGTTGTAGATAATCAAGTTGATTTGGCGGGGCAGGATGATACCTGGTAACCGGACAATAATACCAGAAGGGCTCTTCATGAACCAGTCCCCTAATGTCCCATTTGGACACTGTCGCACATGTGTACATCAAAGCTCTTTAGATCTTGGCCTTGAGCTCCTCACAGTAAGCCTTGAGCTGTTCCATATTAGCAGGGGTTGTGGGCCATTTGACCCCGAGGCCCTCAGTCTCGTTGGGCTTAGGGATCTGAATACTTGTTAGCTGTAGCTCAACGAGAATTCAGGCTTTGATCTTGTTACCATATGGAAGTGAACCTATGACTATATTAGTTTCTTTATGCCGCATATTTGGTATGATATACTTACATGGTCAACTTCTTGGTGAGCAATGCGGCCATTGTTCTGGAGGATGTTGTAATCGGTGGCACCAGTCGCTTTGACAATCTTCTTGACAACAGGCTATGAACACAGTTAGACTTGAGTATCATCACTAGCATCCCAGTACTTGCCAGAATCTCAGTGAGGTGTTCGTCAGGAATATCAGCCAGCTTGGCACCGTGGTGCTTGGGGATGACAAGCTATATCTTGTCAGTGGGTTCATGACGCGAGCTGTTGAGAACATACAGCATGGCCCTTGCTGAGAGGACCAATATCAAGGAAAGCGAGCGTCTTGTCACTCTCAAATAACTTGAAAGAAGGGATATCACCTAATCAAGTACCAAGTCAGTTTACACGAAGACAGGAGTTAGACAAAAGAGCTGATGAACACCCTCAACATACTCTCCCCTCGGCAACTCCCCGCATACTCTCAACTCATTCATTCATTCAATTGCCGTGCTTCCCCTTCTCTTACCCTTGATGATGCGACAGAAAATGCAAGAGGACATCTTGATATTCAGTTGTTGAGCGGTTTATAAAAAAATAAGTAGAAGAGAAAAAAAAAAGAATCAGAGAACAAGCTGAAGTTCAATTCTTAATTGAAGGATCAGATTACATGAGCTAACACTGACAGAGGTGCAACTTGGAACTATTGAGGGGCAGCTGGTGAGTGGTTTGATTGGCTGTTGGGCTTGGATTGAAGGTATATAATTCTAAATTACACTTCTTTCTTTCGGAGTGGGACCTCCCATCGAACTCACCTCTTGCCTTTTACCAGATGTGACCGTGGGATTGGCCCAACAGACTCCATTCACCTAATCTTTGGAAACCATTCGTCTAGAGACTCTAGATTCGAATTTTGATTTTTGTTTCATTTTCTAATCCAAAGGTATCAAATAGCAGCATGTATTAGTTGGTCTTTTGTTTTTGGTATTTTTCAAGACCATTGAAGCTCTTTTTGGGCGTCAATAGCCTTCATGCCCTCTAGAAGTGAGGCTTCTTTCTGCGCCTTGCTTTTTACGTCATCTTCATCTCGGCGGGGTCGCCTCAGCCCCTCCAAACACAATCAGGTACCTAGAACTAACTACCTGCCCGTGCTCCCAAGGCATAACCGTAACCAACCCATGATCCATCACTCTTCACCTACTTTCAGGCGCCCAGTTTCTTTCTACCTTGTAGCACTTTTTGCCAAGATTTGCTGTTCCAGTCAGTACCCGTACGAGTCACGAGCTTGACCCCCCGAAGCTTATATACTCCAACTTTCGCCGCCGACTGCTCGTACATAGTACGATCGACACACCCTCAAGTTTGCGACGGACGAACGTGCAGGTTCCAACCCATATCAAACCATTGCATTTACTCAAAACGAAATGCCTGAATACATCAACACGCCTCTCTTTGGTGGCGCAATCACTTGCGACCTACCCGCCAAGTTCGCCGACGTCAGGTTCGTCCTCATTGCTCTTTGCGCCCAACTACACCTTTTCCTGTGCTGACTCTATGCGCTGCAGCAAGTTGCGACAAGTTCCCGATAACCAAGAAGTCTGGATCGACCAGGATGGTTTTACCAGCATCATCTTCGACATCACAGAGCGTGTTGGAGGCTCTGGCTCTGGTCCTGAGGTCGATGGTCGTGCCATGACAACTCATCTTGAAGATATGGTTGGTTCGGATATCGATACCGTCAAGATCTGGAACACTGCCGAGACCGAGTTCTCGAATCTAGAGTAAGTTGTCGCAGGTGCCTCCTGGAAGTGGCAGTTACTGATATCTGTAGACCTGGTACTCCCGCATACACACTTATTTCCACGCAGACTCCTCGTGTGAACCAGTCCCGCGACTCAACATCTGCACCCGATTTCACCGCCATCATCCTAACTCTTTTGCGGCTCGAGAAGGCCAAGACTGACGTTCTCATCACAATCAATGTTCCTCATATTAAGGGAGAGTACGATGAGGCGGAGGTTGATCTTGAACTAGGACGTCAGGGTAAGCTCATCGGCGCTGCCGTTGAGTATTCTGCTACTATCTGGTCAACATTTAAGATCAAGGACTGGGGCCTCTTTGGTGAAGCTTAGAGTACTTGAAATTTGTTAAAAGTGAATGGAGAACATATTCAGGTTACGGAGGGAATGCAGCAGGAAAGAGCTATGATATCATGAGATGACTACCACGACTTACGACCCGTTTTCTTTGTCGATGGATGAATATACAATTATGGACATGACAAGTATGGTTCCTATCATGCGGGAATATGCAGGCTCACAAGTTGCTTTCAGATGAACATGACAACATGCCATGATAGAATGCCATATTGATAAGCATTCGGGCAAATGTAGCTTGGGAAGCTCTACAGCTTTAAGAAACTGCTGGCTGATAAGAGTCAAATCGAACTTTGTCTGCATTCGCAACGTTCAGTGACTAAGTATTTACACTCTTGCATCACTCTAATTTCTCAAATTTTTACCTGTTCATACAGGGTAATCGATGAGCTTCCATGAGGGTAGTGAAGGCAGTATCTCTGTAGACAAGGGAGTATTTGTTCATAGATATGATATATCCATATCTTATAGTCTGGATTTCGACAGGCAGCGTCGTGTATAGGTGAAGACGCAGGTGAATTCAATTAACTCAGACACGGAAATCATAATATTGAATGGGTATAGACAAACAAACTCCGAGTTATGCAATTATGCTTCAGCCTCAATAGTTAGATCAACCATCTTGTCAACAACACTCTCAACTCCCAACTTGCTAGCTACCTTGCTTCCAGTCTTACCGCCCTCTTGCTTCGCCCACTTCTCTGCAATGAGCTTCATGACCACCTTCTGGGGACTGCCCGGGTTCTCTCCTCTGACCACACCCATCTGCTCTTTCACAAACGCCTGATATCGGCTCGGTGCTTTGCCTGCTGCTGCTCCCCTTGGTACTGGCTTGGTCTGCTTCAAGTTGCCCTTGCACTTCCCACATTTACTACGCTGGGTATCAATACTTTTGGAGTGCCGCTTGTACTCAACTCCGCATTCTTCACACTCCCAGACGTACTTGAAGTCGATTTCGTAACTGTGCTTGGTCGTCACTTCGATGCCGCGATCAGCAAACTTGGCTGAGCACTTGGCCGCCCAAGCCTTGAACTCTCGACCGTGAGGGTTTGTCGTTATGCCACTGATCATGAAGTTGGCGAGATGGCAAAACTCATGTGCCATGACATTGAGTAGGCGGTTCTCGTCATCAATGACCTTCTCGGCAAGTTCAATTGATGCATGATGCTTGAATATCTTGATGGGTTGACCGTCTTCCGTCTTGCGTGTCGTCCTAATAGTCTCGCAACGCCAACTTGCTCGCCCAGCTGTCGTATTGAGTGTTTTCGTCCAAACGAGCTTGACGCCACCTGTTGACTCAGCAAGCTCAGCAATTCTACCCTTTGTGATCTCGCGATCGAGTTCGGCTAGAAAGTTCTCGGCCAACGCATGTTTCCTAGATTCAAATGACTTCTTGGTCTCCTTCCTGGGCTCTTTCTTTGGGCTCGCCTTGCTGGGACTCTTGGTAACCGGGGGGAGGATGAGCTTGCGTGGCGAGTGCTGGTCGTTCCAGTCGTTAACAAAGTCCTGGCTCCAAAAGGCATCCATACTTGGACGATGTGGCGTCTTAGGGATCTGTATTTTCTTGCTTGGTGATGCAAGCCCCTTTGGCTTTAGTCCTTTAGGAGGAGTACTGGGTGGTGTGGTGAACTCGTCTATCTTCGATACTCTGCTCTCATCGTCTGAAAAGTCTTCGAGCTGTAGTCGCAGCTTAGATAATGTGTCTGCAAGGTCCGAGGTGGTGGCCGTCCCTGAAGCAAGCCGGTTTCCACTTTGGCTGGTCTTCCTGGACCCAACAACCTCTTTACTCGAAGGATTCTTGACAATTTCGCGCGTTTTTTTATTGCTAATGTTTGTAGAGCGGTTTGGTTGAAGAGTTGGAGCATTCTTGATTGAGGGGACACGCTCCCTGGTGCCAACTGTCTTTGATGGCGGCCTACTCAAGGAACGTGCCTCTCTTCTTGTTGGGGGCTCAGGGGAGTCATTCAACCAATCCGACTCTGAGACAGAGTCAGAATGTTCGTCCGCAGTTTGATAGATACTTGGCTCTTCTGCTTTCTCGTCCTCCTGGCTCACTTCGCTTTCAGCATTGCTATCAATCTCTCGTGCCAAAAGCAATGCTTTTGACTTGGTCCCAGAATGAATACTTGGTGTGGGCTCCTGAATCTCCAGAGTAGGTGTTGCCACTGTTTTCTGAAGCCGTCGGACCCTTGTCAAGGCTGTTTCCTTTTCGGATTTATAGTTTTCATCACTCTCGTCATCAGAATCTTGCACAACCCTCTGGTTTCTCCTCCTTCTTGGCTGTTGTCGAGACTGCGGCATGTATTTCTCAGTCTCAGAGCCACATTCGGACTCTGAATATAAGGAAAGTCTGTCGACTGGGGTTGTTTGTCGTGATTGCTTCTTCTCATAACTTGCAGCCCTTGATTTACTCCGTCGACCACCTTGTGTGCTTTTCTGTTCTTCCGAGCTCCATTTCTGAAAGAGTGGGTTGGCGGCGGCTTGACTTGGTTCTCCAAGACGTCGTACACGTCGTGTTTCAACGTTGGAAGTAGTCTTAGGAATCGTCGGCTTGCTAACTGAAGGCGCTGGTGTAGCTGTCTTTGTTGCTCGGGTGCTTGGTTTCCGAAGAAGCGTTTTCAGGTCAGGTAGGTCATCGTCACTGGAGGGATAAATGTCTGCCAGTCTTGCCATAGTGGATGTGTTGAGTCGCAGGTGAGAGGCTTAAGCTACGGCATCTGCGGGTTGAGGGAGTGTTCCTTGCGCCGTCAATGGCAGGCGGGGATATGGAGTGATACTTTTCGGTAGGTGATGCCTTGATAGGTATGCGATGACCTGGAGACGATAACTTCTATGGCATAAACTGGTTCAGCTTGAATGCATGGTGGCTGCAGTAAAACTTGAAACTTCGATCTATTAAGATTTAGAACTCAAGGTAAATAGCCGTCGCGTTGGCACAGCAACATACCCATATTGGAATGTAGGATCGCGACTCCACGTGACGCCCACCAACTTCTGTCATATAAGCTCACGATGAATAATTGTTTGATGGATTTATGCCAGATGCATCCGTAGTTCGTAATGTGAGACATCTTCATATCTACTCCGTACAAGTATCGATTTGGCCAAGCGGCTCCGTTCACAATTCTAGAACATGAAGCTAGTACGTATTGACAAGTTACTATCGGAATGAGAAGCCCGAGCCGGAGGAGCGGGAAACAACTTGACATGCTTATTTTTGGTGTTCGCTTGTGTCGTAGTCCCTTGGCAAATTTTCGATGCCAGTCGCTGAGACCTGAGAGGCGATGAATGGGTATAGGTTGACCCATGAGAAATCAACACTTTTACATCACTTAATGGTTAGTATTATCCGACTCAGCTTATGGCTTTCTGCTATGTGACACATATTTAATTGATGGCCGTATTAC